TTAAGAATATTTAAATTAGAAAAGGCACTAAGCAGCCACAGTATTTCTCTCCCACTTACAGGTTTCTAGATAATCGATTGTTTGCGACTTGTTCTGATGACACTACAATAGCACTTTGGGATTTGAGAAAGCTGAACACAAAAGTGTGCACTTTACATGGTCACACCAGCTGGGTTAAGAACATCGAGTATGATACCAATACGAGATTACTAGTAACATCAGGGTTTGATGGAAATGTGATCATCTGGGACACAAACAGGTATGTGGCTGTGTTCATGCTGTTATGTTTCTAGAACACACAAGAATAGGGTTCTTCTGTACAAGGTAGAAAACCTGCTTCCTTGAATGGTGCTGTAATGCATTCTTAAATAGTCATTAGTTTATAGCCCTTACCAAGAACTTGCACCACCTTTATATGGTAGTTGTCCAGTAGCTAAAAAGAGAGCTTTTCTTGCTGACATGCCAAAATGTAGTTCTTCCTTTTTGAAAAAGTTCTGGCTTTATTGCTGTGATAGTATAAAAATGTGACTTCTGACATTTCATTAAAATCTGATTTAAATAGGATAAAGGCAATACTCAAAGTTTTTGAATGAACAAGGATGCTTAGCACATCTTGGGCTCTTCTGGACATTATTAGGGACTTGAGTCAAAGCTAATTGCAGCCCTTTTCTTGTGGTTTTTTTGCTGTCCAGGTGCACAGAAGATGGTTGTCCCCACAAGAAGTTTTTTCACACTCGTTTTCTTATGCGAATGAGGCTGACACCAGACTGTTCCAAAATGTTGATCTCAACCTCTTCTGGATATCTTCTTATTTTGCATGACCTTGACCTAAACAAATCTTTAGAGGTTGGCAGCTATCCAATTTTAAGAGCTAGGAGGACTACATCAAGTTCAGGTGAATGATTGCGGAAAAGTCTGTGGCAGCTTCTGTGTTAGAAGTGTTTTATGGGATACTCAGGTAGCAAAAGAAAGCAAAAGTGGAGTTGGAAGGATTCTGCTGAGGAACTCTTTGGCACAGTAGCTGCTCTGTTGTTCAGGGGTCACACATCTGTAGTGTTGAGTGGTATGTTGTGACTCGGGTGAAGTGTCTAGGATAATTTTTGGTCTCAAGACTTCAGCACTACAGGATATAGTAGTGCCTGTGGAATTTTGTCACGTTGAGCTGGCAGTCTGTATATTTATCTAGTCTATTTTTAGACTATAAACTGAGCTTTGAAAAGTGTTTTTTTAACAAGATGCTTTACCCTTACCATTTCCTTAACATTTCTAAGGGGGGTTAAATGAGGGACATGCATAGTAAGTGGGCTGTGCTTAGCTGTTATGTTCACATGGCTGATGCTGTTTGCAGACGTAACGTCATCGGGTTCGTCATCGGGTTCGTCATCGGGTCTGTCTGGTCCTCGAGCTGTTGGTTCACCATGTCACCAGAATGATTCAGGTCCACTGCCTGAGAAACACATGTCACGGTCCTCCCAGCGAGAAGGTAGGAGAACATTAAAAAATAATAATAAAAAAAATCATGGACTTTGAGTCATTGTATCCAGAAGAGGCCTGAGTATAACAGTGACAAAACAGTGTGTTTTTGTCTCTGTGACTTTTAAAAGAATAGCATTGCTATGACTTCTATTAAACCAATGAAATATCATTGCACTCCAAAGTCTGGAGATCTAATCAGTTTTTTCTCAAGAAATCTGATAACAGCAACAAGATCTTTATTTAATGTTAGTACATTATTGCTGTTATGTAGAGGTGCTCCCTTTTCTTTGTGTTTTTTCCTCAAAGTTTGTGTGAATGGGCTTTAGGGGAAAAAAGAAAACAGAACACAGCTATGTTTTGCTTTTTGTTTTCCTTAATGATGGGAATATGTTATTTGTAGTTTCTCCATGAGGAGTCAATAGCATGGAAAAAGAGTATGCACACTGGTCTTAAATGTGGACAGTGTGTTTTGTGAAGTTCTAATTACAAATCAAGTCATACCTAACTATAGAGCTATGAAAACTGATGATCCTGTGATTAGCAGGCTTCCTCTGAATTTAGGATACACTTTCAGAAAGTTAGTGTGAACCTGGCAAATTGGTAAATACTTCGTGAATCACATACAATTTAAAATGTGTGATGTTAAGTTTTAACTACTCATGGTTGTGAGATGCTCAAGCATACCTACAAGAGGAGGCTTATGTGGATGCATGATTCACCTGTGAAAAGCTTTTTTAGGGGGAGAAGGGAGGCAAGTTGCATACAGGTGAGCAGACTTCCGATAGGACATCATAAAAGTTTGAGAAGAACTTGTTCTTACAAAAAACTCCCACTCTTTAGACTTTGTTTTAATCATAATGAAGAACGTATGTGTGGAAAGTTAACTTTAACTTAGTTCACAATATCAGACCTCGGAAGGCTAATTTCAGAAAAGAAGCTGTTTGAAATCAGGACTGAGCCCACTGGTACTAGCTTCAGTTGTTTGTATAACCTCTCTTTTCATTTATCCTTCATAAAGGTGCAATCTTTTCTAGCAGTCAGATGCAAGTGTCACATGTTTGACCTAGTTTCAGCAGTGGACTGATGTGAGAGGCAAAGATCAATCTAGAGACTTCCTTGAGACTTACACTAGACTTCCTCTTTTAGGTGGATCACCTAGAAATAGTTTGGAGGTCTTAACACCAGAGGTTCCTGGAGAAAGAGATCGAGGCAATTGCATTACATCACTACAGCTACATCCAAAAGGGTGGGCTACGCTTCTTCGGTGCTCAAGTAATACAGATGACCAGGAGGTAAAACAAATATGTTTTTTTAAAAAGACATTGAGTAAGATGTATCAATCATACAACTATATTGAAATTTCCTTATTTGGGGTAAATTTGCATTTGAATAAATTAGTCAGCTATTTCTGCTTACAGATCCATTACTTGTACATCAAGATTATGAATTTTTTTTTTAATGATCTCATATGACTGTATCCTGCTTTCAGTACTCCTGCTCCCCAGCTTTTTCACAGAATACATTTTATAGTTCATGACTCTGTTAAAAGTTTTCAGACAGTAGTTGTGCTGTCAAATACAAGACTTAAAAATATGTACCTGCCAAAATACAGGAGGTGTGAACTTGGAATAGCCAGGATTAGAGAGTTGTGTACTGGTGAACATTGTTTAAGTTGAGCAGAGAAGCTCCTCAGAATCCTCAAGTGCCTTCGGAATGTTTCCTACCTCCATTGGTAGTCCAGGGACAAATGCTCCTGCTGTGCTGATGAATGCTTTCCAGAGGCTGCTCCTACACTGCTCTGAAAAAACGTCATGGCGTATTTCTGCATCTGCTTAAAACTGCCACACCATAGATCTGCCATCTGATTGTGGTGGGTTGACCCCACACCAAAATCAATGTAACATCATCACAACACCAAACAAAAGTGGACAA